TTGACTTGAGCTGCTTCCTGACCCTCTCCCGCTCGTGGAGGATGCGCATCAGGCTCTTCTCGCTCAGTACAGTCGCCATGCTCTCTCTTCTCTCCTCCTCCTTCGCATTCCTCGCGCTCATCGTCATCACGACCGCCGCTGCCAACAGCCATGGCCACGCCCTCCGCCACAGCATGTTGATGATGTTGGCAAAAGGAACGATGTGGGGGTGGTTTTTAAGTAATAGATGGGGGGTACTACTGATATGGGGTGGTGCGGACACTAGTCAACCATGCGGAGAATGCTGAACAACGTGGAGGCGATGGCGAGGAAAGATCACCCAGCGAGGAGAGAGAGGAGGGAGGTGAAGCAGATTTGTGTCTCTCTCTCCCTCTCCCTCTCCCTCTCCCTCTCCCTCTCCCTCTCCCTCTCCCTCTCCCTCTCCCTCTCCCTCTCCCTCTCCCTCTCCCTCTCCCCTCTCCCTCTCCCTTCTACACTTTCATCCCGCTCCTCTGCTTCCTCTCCACCTCCTGACCTCTTCTCAGCTTCTTGATTGCTTCGTCAACTGCACGTATTGGGGGCCTTCAAGGAACGTCACAGGGGTCAGTCGGGCACGCAAGCAAGGAGCGACGGCGTAAAGGAAAGGACCAATGTGAGTTTTCCTCCTTCCATTCAAAAACTCTCCTCCTCCTCCTTCCCATCATCCTCCTCCTCCTCCTCCTCCTCTCTTCGGTGAACAGAGCATGCAGTAACCCCAGCCGTCGCCTCTCTGCCCTCCGGAAAACTTTCTTCTTCCTTCCTCCGAGCCTCCTCACCCCCGAGGCCTCAGATCGCCTGACGGATGCAGATGGAGGAGGAGGAGGGAGGCTCCTTGCCTGCCGTGTACATGGCGCGACCATCGCTGCTGCTCTTCTTCCAGAAGGAGTGGCTGAACCTTGACATGTATATTAGACCCTCGACGCGCAAGAGCCGCAGACACAACCTGCCGTTGGCTTGCGATGGGGAGGTGTAGTCTCTCCGATACCTTGCGAGTGAACTGTGAGGAAAACCTCTTGCCTCCGACTAGTGCAACACTCCTCGCTCTCAGCTCTACAGCACTCTCCTATTCATCATCATCATCATCATAATCATAATCATCATCGTCATCATCAATCATCGTCGTCGTCGTCGTCGTCATCATCATCATCAATATGAGCCATTAACATCGTCAATACCATCCACACTCCGCACCACCACCACAACCACCACCACCACCACAACCACCACCACCACCACCACCTCCTCCTCCTCCTCCTCCTCCTCCTCCTCCTCCTCCTCCTCCTCCTCCTCCTTCAGCACCTCCACCCGTAGGCCACCGACTCTGCCTCAAGGCGAAGTCGCTTCAGCTCGCTCAGGTCGGAAGGGAGACTCTCCTCTACGTTGCCTGCGCCGTCAGCTGCGACCAGAAGCTCAAGCTGAGCACCGAGCAGCGACGGGGGACGCGTGCTGGGACTGGAGCTGAAGGAGTCTTGGGAGGGGAGGGTCGTGCGACTGCCAAGGGAGGAGGAGCGACTTCGAAGCTCCTCATCGCAGAGCACGTGGGTACCCAACAGCCTGTAGGAGGAAGAGGTCTTGATCCCCTCGGTACCTCCGTGCGGCCTCAGGGTCAGAGCGAGGTCATGCTTGCAAGTCCTCAGCCTCTCCAGCGAGACGCGTCGAGACTCCACGTACAGCTCTGGCTCCCGCTCCCTGTCATCCTCCGTCAGGCCGTACCCCTCTTGCCGCCCTTCTTGAAACCCCTCCTCCCTCCCTCCCTCCCTCCCTTCCTGCCGCCCTCCCTGAAACCCCTCCTCCCTCCCTCCCCTCCTTCCCTCCCCTCCTGCCTCCCTCCCTCCAACCCCTCAGTCTCCCTCACTTCATCTCAGCAAGTCGGAGAGACTGCCGGTAGTCGTTGACGCTCTCTTTCAGACTGCCGGGGAGGAGAGCAGCGGCGGGGAATCTGCAGTAGAAGAGTCAGTGGGACTGCAGGTGCTGCTTGCCGCTGCTGCTCCACCCGGACTCAACACTCGCAACCGAGTCACAGCTGGCCTCAGGGTCGAGCTGGACGCCTTGGGAATGTATCGTCCTACTCAGCATCTCTGTTTGCTACGGCGCATCGTGAGAGGAGGAGGGGAGGCAGCAGGTTCTAGTCACCTTCCTCCTTGGCTGGTTCACATGCCCGGAGGAGACGCCGGCAGGTCTGATGAGCTCCGAGGAGAGCTGCTCCTCGCCGCCAGAGGCGAGGAGGTGCTGGACCGGGAGTTGCTGAGGGTGTAGCAGCTGAGAGCAAACTCGCGCTCCTGCTGGCGGAAGTCCGGCTCCTTGGGCCTGCCATGGAACTTGTGGTGTTCTCCCGAGATCCAGGGCGTCTTCGACCGTCCTTCCGCGTGAGACCTGGCGAGCCTCCAGGAGTAGGACCCTCCTGTCAACGCCGGTCAGCTCGACGTCAGCTGATGTCAGCTGGACATAGGAGGAGGGTACGCAGAGAGGAAGAACAAGGCTCGACGGCAGCGCAGCACCTACCGGGGATATCGAGCGAGGGAGCATACTGCCCTTCCTCCGCCTGTGTCCCCTTGTTCGACATGATGCTGACGTTGCCGCGGAACTTGCGAGCAAGAGAGTGAGCTGGCAGAGAGTCGAGCTGGAGAGACTCACGGTAGGCAGGATCTTCCAGACATCGGTGCGGTAGCGAGGCTTGGTCACGGGCCGCAGGTACATGGGGTTGGCAGGAGGCTTGAGGTGCTGCCAGGGGGGGATCTCCTTGGTGGTAGCGATGAGGTGCGTCCGGACTTGGACAGCACTTGATCGCCGTCGAATCTTGAGCGAGGGATCCGCTCGAGCTCGGGTAGTCCTGTGCTCCTCCCCCTCCCCCTCCTCCTCCCCAACCGCCTCTTGGTTGGGACTGACGCCATCCCCTCCTGGGCAGCAGCTCAGGTCTACAGGACTGTCAGTTCGCCTCCTGTCTTCACCTTCGAAGCTCAGAGCTGGTGCCAGACTCTGATCCTGCGCCTTGTCAAACTTCTCACGGTGGACAGGGAGGAGGAGCACCTGGATCCTGTGATTCACCGCTGGAGAGGTCTGCTGACCAAACCTGCGGGCCGACCCAGAGTAAAGAGGAACCAGCGACAGTCATGGGAACTCACGGGATAAAATGCTGCGAGTCCTCGTGGGTCGGTGACTGGAAGAAGGGAGTTGGAGCCTGCGGTAGGCAGGCAGTCAAGCACCCTCCTCCTCCTCCTCCTCCCCTCCCCAGGCAAACAAGGCTCCGCTCACAGCAGAGTCTATGGTCAGCATCTCGCCGTTCTCCAGGTAGGAGGGATGGCCTCGCTTCTCCGAGGGACGAGACGGTGTGGGAGGATGTTGCTGCTGCGCTCTCCATCCATGCGCCTCAACCTGTGCGGATGGTCAAGGGAGGGGGAGAAAACTTTCATCATGGGAGGGGGAGGAGCGTCGGAGGCAGGAGGGATTAGTTCCTTACCCCGTGGCTGGATCGCTGCAGGGACTCGAACCTCTCCTTCAACTTCCTCTCATACTCCATCCCACGTCCTCCACGTTGGTCGTACTCCCACGAGGGTGCCGTCTGACTTCGCACCTTGTCTTCCAACAGGTGGATCCTGCCCGCACGTAACAGTCATCCAGTGGTCCGACATCACAGCGCGGCCATGGTTACCATGCTGGAGGGCTCTCTAGCGGCCGAGCCTGAGGAAGAGGAGAAGCGCTGGGCTGAAGGAGCTGGCGATCGAAGTTCTTCTCCATCGCCTGCCTCCTTCTCATCTCCATCACCAGCCTCCCCGGCGCCATCCCCTCTAACGCTTTACTTTGTCGGGCCTCCTCACGTCCCCCCTCATCCCCTTACTATCTCGGCCCTGACTGCCGCTTCCCGGAGCCGTGTGACCCGGACAATGACACAGGGCCGGGGCGTGCGTCACAGTGCCGCTGGGCCGCACTGCGCGGCAGTAACTGAGTCCCGGACCGTCGCCGAGTCCGAGGCCGGGCCCACGGTAGTACCGCCGGTGACTGGCCGGGCACCGCTGAGGCCGGGCCTCATCCCCGCTCAAGCCGACTTCACTGAGGCGGACTTCGTACGATAAGACCATGGCGCTTCTTTACATGGCGATGAAGGGAAGGGGGATTAGGGGCGGGTGGGGGAGAAGAGAGTGAAGAAACGGGATGTAAGGAGGAGAAACAAGGAAGGAGACACACAAGAGAAGTTTCTCTCAAGTTTCCTGAGGAGGACAGCTCAAGAATCGATGTATCTTCCGAAACGACCCACCCTCCTTGTCACTTTGCTGGTGCTGTCCTGGGGAGATGGTGGAATGCGGCATGCGGCTGGGAAACACTCGGAGCATCACGATGCAGAACAGCAGGAATTTGTGTATGAAGTTTCGAGCAGGTAGAGAAGAGACTTGATGTCTTGCTGGCACCTAATGACATGTTGCTACAGGCTTGTTGGAAGCATCAAAGAGGGGAAGGCAGCAACGACCTGGAGGGCGATTTCCTGCCTGAGGCGATTCGATCGCCATCTTGCGATGCTTGTCTTTGCTCCAACGTTCGATTCATCTGCCGTGAGGCCGAGAAAGAAGAACAAGCTGTTCGACTCTAACATATCTAGAACCGTCGCTCCCGCGTTGAGCAGGGTGATAGCAGAGAGGCATGGCATCGCTGGATCGCGTCTGTCGATCCTTGCTCAGACTACGGCATCCTTGTTCTGCTCTCAGAACTACTCGCTCGCTCTCCGATGGTTGTCTCTGCACGACTATCTGTCCGAAGGATCGAAGATGCACGGACAGCTTCGGGAACTGGAGGAAGAAGGGTCGCAATCCGTGGGGTCGATATTTCAAAAATCCATCGTGCAGATTGCGAGCTCGCAGCAAGACGAGTCTTGTTTTCGAGCAGCACAGCTCTTGCGCAGCATCGTCAGGATAAGAAGGCGATCGAAGGGATCGGACCATGTGCAATACGAGACGTACATCTATCAAGCCCGGCTCTCCATGCTGTTCCACCATTACTCGGTCGCTATCTCGGCGCTGGAAAGAATTATGACAGGGGGGAGAGAGAACGATGCGCAGGTGATGTGATGTTCTAGAGCTCAAACTCCTGACGGCTCACAGGCGCTGTGCCTGCTGGTGAACGCTCAGGACTCAAACATCGAGCTGCGAGGGCAGCAGGAGAGATATCAGCGGTTGTCCAGAGTTCTCCGTCAATTGTTCCAGGTACTCAAACTTCTTCCTTGCTGCTCAGCATCTCCCGATGATCCATCTGCAGTCGTTCTCGCCGCCAGCCAGCCAGTGCATATCCCCGTTCTCCGCCTTAGCCTCTCCGTTAACTCCCTTGGAAGCGCTCATGGTAAAGTCAGCTGGAGCCTGCTCTTTCCCTGTCCTCCCGTCAACATCATCATCGCACAGGTGGCTCGCAGCGCGGCTGTGAGGGAGAGAAGTGCGTTGAGGGGTGTGAAAAGTCTCAGTGTGAGGCGTCTGGAAGACCTGCTGCCCAACAGCCCAGGTAGCCGTGGGGGTCGAGCGATGGAGGGACGAGAGCGATAGAGGATGTTTTGTGACGCCTTTTGGTCAGACCGGAGGATCTCCGTGGGATACATCACGTCAGAGTGGGGGGACAACAGCGTTGGCAGGGAGATCCATGCGGTGAACGAACTTTGACCTGCCGGGGCAGTTCTTGACACGCTGGCGCCCTAGGTGCTTGAGCGGCACTCAGCGAGGAGGGTTCGGCCCGTGTGCTTCATGCTCAAGGACCCTCTTGAGGGTTCTCTGGTGCGTCTGTCCTGCCGGTGGCTCCTCGGCCGTCTCAACCCGGCGCAGAGGGCGAGGGAGTGGAGGGAGAAGACGAGCCGAGCCTGCGGCAGCGGCCTCGTGCCCCTGCACCATCTGTCGGATGTGGAGGTGAGCCTTGGCTGCTGATGAACGTGCGGGAAGGGAGGGAGGGAGGGAGGGAGGGAGGAAGGGAGGGAGGGAAGAGGCTGATGCCGTCCGGGGACCCAGGGGGCGGAGAGAGTGAACAAGGAAAGGCTGCACGTCCTCGTCGATCTCAACGGGTGGATGTCTGGCAGCAGAGTCCGCATCCTCGCGCTGCAGCCGGCGATGTTGCAGGTGAGATGCGAACTTGATCTCTCTTCCTTCCTCCTCTAGCTCTCCCTTCAGCTCCCTCTCTAGCTCCCCCTCCAGCTCCCCTCCAGCTCCCTCTGCTGCTTTCTGCTCAGCTTTCTCCATTGCCTGCTAGTTCTCCTACCATGATAGTACTTGCTTCCTCCCTGTGTGCATGCCTGCCTTTGTTCGTTTTTGTCTTTGTCTTCTCACGTTGCATCAGATTAACTACAAGAATTTTGTGGGGAGCATGGGAGCAGATTTTGAGCCTTTCATTGGTGGCCTCGCTCACAGACTCCTCCTCCTCCTCCTCCTCCTCCTCCTCCTCCTCCTCTTCCTCTGACTTGACCTCGTCTGACTTGACCTCGTCTGACTTGACCTCGTCTGACTGGACCCACCTCTTCTCAGTCACGGACAAGGTCTGCAGCCCTCCGGAGTTCGTGCAGGACTACCAGGAGAAGCTTCTGCTGATGCCGAGGAGGTGACGGAAGTTTCTCTGTCCTCACGAGCCTCTCACGCTGAATCTTTCCCAGCTTCTACGTCACCGAGGATTATTCAGAGACGCACCCTGAATGTCTTCAGGTTGCTCCCCTTGACATCCGGCCCCTGTGACTCTCTTCCCCCCCCCCCCCCCCTTCTAGGACGAAGAATTTTCGGTTCCCCATAAGAGGGAGATTGTGGAGGTTGCCAGGGCTCAGTCGGAGCAGCGGGGGGTCAAGCGATCCGGGGGGGTCAGCACAGACGTCGTGATCGCAAACTTCAACAACTGGAAGAAGCTCGACATGCGAACTCTCAGGGTTTCTCAGCTCCCCTTCCGCCGACTGTCCACATGTCACGCTGCTGCAGGTGTGGGCCAAGGTCATGGGGGAGGTTCCGAACTCGATCCTTTGGCTGATGTCGATGTTGCCGTACGAGGGGCCGTCAGGTGCCGTCGGAGGAGGGCAGGAAGAGCTTGACAGATGTCAAACAGACTCGCTCAAGTCAATCTTGCAGTCCCTGGGTGTCGATGCCTCCCGCGTCGTCATTACGGGGCTGCTGCCGAGTGAGACGCATCTGATCGCGTGAGTACTTGATGTTGATCTGCTGCTGCTGCTGCTGCTGCTGCTGCTCCTCCTCCTCCTCCTCCTCCTCCTCCTCCTCCTCCTCCTGCTCCTGCTCCTCCTCCTGCTCCTGCTCCTCCTCCTCCTCCTCCTCCTCCTGCTCCTGCTCCTGCTCCTGCTCCTGCTCCTGCTCCTGCTCCTGACACACGATCTCGATGTGTCCGGCAGGAAGCAGCAAGCTACGGATGTATTCCTGGACTCTCTCGCCTACAATGCGCACAGCACCGCAGTCGAGCTGATCTGGGCGAACGTCCCTGTCCTCACCTGCCCTGAGCTCAAGATGACTGCGAGGGTAACTTCCATCCTCCTGCTTCTGCTCCTGCTTCTCTACTCCTTCTCTTGCTCTGCCTCCCCTGGTCCTCCTCCTCTGCCTCCTTGTCTCTTCCACCACCACCACTGATCCTGCTGGTGTCGATGAACATTGCGTCTCGCAGGTCGCTTCCAGTCTGCTGCTGGCTCATGGCATGTCGGCGTTAGTGGCTCGCGAAGCCAGGGACATGGAGGACGTGGCGGTCAGGTGAGACAGCGGGGCGATGGGCGAGGAAGGTGCGCTGACATGCTCGTAGGCTGCTGCGGGAACGACGACACTTGAAGAGGATGCGGGTGAGAGGAGGTAGAGGTTGCAGGAGGAGACTTACTGCCGCTCCGACAGTCAGAGCTGAGGAGGAGGAGGAGGAGCGGGAGTGAGGACAGTTTATTCGACATCTCTCAGGTAGGCTCCTCGTATCCTCTACCAGCTTCCTGACGCCCCTCGCAGTGGACGCGATCGTTCGAGGACGGTCTGTTCTCCTTGCTCGAGGCCTCTGCCTCCTCCCCTCGACATCTACACATCGTCGTCTCCTCGAGCGGCCCCGACCCCCGTCGCCAGTAGCATCCTTGTGCTCGTACTCGTGCTCGTGCTCTCGTTCCTCCTCCTCCTCCTCCCCCTCCCTCCTCCCCCTCCTCCTCCCCCGCCTCCTCCTCCTCCTCCTCCTCCTCCTCCTCCTTTCAGTACATCCCTTGACACCTTTCAGTCCTGAGCGGCTGGTACCCCCTGCCCTTCTCTGCTGCCATACGAGGACGCTGCGAGATCAGATTCTGACCCGATGGGGCCGATGACGTCAAGAGTTGACTCGTCCAGCCCTCCTCCTATCCTCCTATCCTCCTTCCCCTCCTCGCTCCTTTCTCCCCTCTCTGCAACTCCCCCATGTCTGCCTATCCGCCTGACTGCAGCTCCTCCTTCCGACCGTTCTCCCTCCCTCCCCTGATTCCGCTCCCCGGCCATGACAACCCGCAACAAACTTGTCAGGTGCTCTTTCATGGCACCAGCTCTCCCCCACAATTGCTGCTGTGCTGCACCAGCTCCTCCTCCCCATCCTCGTTCTTCTTCCCCACCCTCCCATCCCCTTCCTCCTCCTTCCAGGTCGCTCTCGTGCTGCATCTCAGACTGTCGTCGGCTCCACCTCCACGATCCTGTACCTCGCGATCCCAACCTGAACCTCCTGCTCCCTTCCTGTGGGCTGCATGTACGTCAGAGGAGGGTACAGCACCTCCTCCTCCTTGGGAAACGCCGAGAGCCAAGACACGTCCACACCACGCTGCAGGCTGTTCTTGGTTCTGAAGCGAAAGATCAGCGTTTCCCGGCTCATCCCGTATGCTGCTGCGACCTGCAGCTCAGTCGAAGTCGACATCGGCACGAGCTCCGTCCCTCCTCTCTCCACAAACCCGTGGGACACAGACAGGTTCTTCATCCCCCGCCACAGCACCCGAGACTCCATCCCGACACTGTTTGAGGTCTCGACGCCCCGCAGCTTCTTCAGCCCCTCGACGATGAGGAAGGTGATCAGAGGAAGCGGGTGCGGCTCCCTCCTCTCTATCCGCCCCTGGTCCCTCAGCGGGTCGTTGATGTGCGGGAAGCTCGGCAGCGTGTAGAGTCGCAGCGCCGCAACCTCCTCCTCCCGCAGCCGCGCGACTCTGGCGGACTTGTGGCACAGGAAGTCGCAGAGCCTCATTCCTTCATGACCCTGGTCCCGAACGCCCTTGCTCGTCACCTCCTCCCTCGCTGCCTCCGACAGCACGTACTCCAGGTCTCTCCTCAGCTCCTTGCTCCCGTGAGCTTCCACCTCTTGCCGCATGTTCTTGATCGCGTCCTGCACCTTGCTGTAAACCTCCTTCATCGGTACCTGCAGCAGCTGCTCCAGCCCCCGCGCCGCATGCTTGAACTCCCCGCACACGAGAGTCTTCGAGTCCGACATGAACCGCTCGTCGAGCCTCTCGTCTCCTCCTCCTCCCCCCATCGCCCGCAGCGTGTGCATCACCAACGCCTCGTACTCCTCCACGCTCAGCAGCCTCTGCCCTCGGCTGTCCGCTGCCCGGTACTGGTCTACCAGACCTCTCGCTCTCTCCTCGATCACTTTCTCTCGCATCCAATCTTCGATCTGCTGCGCAAGCTTTTCATTGTGCCTCTCACGCGCTACCTCTGCCGCTGTCCGTCCTAGCGAGTCTCGCAGCTCTCCTAGTTCTGCTGCCCCAGCTCCAGCAGAGCCTGGCAGACAGGCCAGGACCCTCGCGATGCTGCGACGTGTAACGTCGAGCCAACGGTCCTCTTGCGCGAATGGAGGGAGAGCGTCCACACCCAATCCCCATGACCAGTCAGACAAGCCTTCTCCTTCATCTCCTTGAGGTCCCACACCTTGATCGTCTTGTCCCAGCTCCCGCTTACGGCTGTCTGCCCGTCTTTGCTCATGACAACGCTTGTGGCAGCGTCGACGCAAGATCCCACACCCTCAGAGTGTAGTCGTTGCTTGCGCTCACAACTCTCCGCCCGTCCTTGCTTATCACCAGGCTACTTATTCCTTAAGTGTGACCAGTCAGACAAGCCTTCTCCTTCATCTCCTTGAGGTCCCACACCTTGATCGTCTTGTCCCAGCTCCCGCTTACGGCTGTCTGCCCGTCTTTGCTGATGACGACGATACTGACCCAATCGTTATGACCAGTGAGACACGCCTTCTGCAGCGTCGACGCAAGATCCCAGATTCTCAGTGTCCGATCGTCACTTCCACTGATGACTGTCTGCCCGTCCTTGCTGATCACAACGCAAGTGATACCACTGACATGTCCGGTCAGACAAGCCTTATGCTTCAACTTCTTGAGGTCCCACACCCTCAACGTGTGATCTTCGCTCCCGCTAACAACCGTCTGGTCGTCGGTGCTCATCGCCATGCACCTGATACCTCCGACGTGACCCGTGAGGCAAGCCTTCATCTTCAGCTTGCAGAGATCCCACACGAAGATCGACTTGTCCAAACTCGCACTCACTGCCATCGTCCGGTCACCACGGTTTGCGGCATTATGTGATTCCCTTGTGAGTCAGCTATCAGTTGACAGCTCTCCGACTCGCCGAGTCTATTCGTACGGTATCCCTGTATCCGATGATTGTGCGGCAGGCAGTGCAGTCACGGTGCGATCGTCGGGTTTCTCTCACTTGTCAGTGTGTCCAAGTTCCGTCAGTGGCACGGTACCGCTGACGGGCCGCTACCTGAATATCATCTTAGTAGATCGTGGCCGCGACACTTGAATGCTACCGGCGGAAGCTGAGTCACTCTGCCGCAGTGGTACGGCTAGTCGGCTAGTCATGCTCAGACTCCGTAGCAACAAAACTAACTCTTTACTTCCAACACCTCACACAACACCGTGACGTCTACATCCTGCCTTTCTCCCGGGCCCTGCAGCACTTCACTGCTGCGGTAGGACTCCGAGCACAAGGCCGACTCGGAACAACCCGATGCACGGCAAGGGAAGACGATAACCGACCGTCCCAGTCATGGCCTGGACTTCTGGGTTTAGGGTTCAAAATTCGTTCGGTTGTGCGGGAAGTAATCATCCGCTTCCAGGATCATCTCTCCCGCAAATGCCGACACGGGGTCGAAATAGTCTACCTTCTTCTCGAAACGCTTTGCAACCTCGCTGAAAAATCTGATCTCTCTGTCATCTGCATTTGAATGTAGAAACACATACTTTCTTGGTGAACAGCGTATCATTTCAGCGAGCTGCACATACATCATCGTTCTTGGATCAAACGGGGGTAACACAAGGTCCTGTGGTAACCCGATCGTTTTCCACACATTCCGTCGAAAGCTTGCGTGTTCCGGATCGTTCAAGAGCCGAAATACGTCAGACATAGAAATCTCTCCTCTCTGCATCGTATTGAGAACCGTCTTCGGCAACATAGATTGAAGCGCATGATCCTCGGAATCTTGAACAATGCACACTACTTCCCTGAACAGCTCCTCAAGGACGCATCTGCGTTATCAATATCATTCTGCAGATCTCAATCAAGACGCACACCTTTGAGTGAAGGTGGATATTTCACGCTTGTAGTAATGGGCAAGGTACTTTTGATTCCTCTGCATCTTGTCCTCCATTTCATTCTGCAGCCCCAGCTCCTTTTCCAAGTCCTTTTTGTGCAGCTCCAGTGCAACAAAATACACATGAAAGCTCGTTTTCGCCGCATCATCAACCCCCAGTATCCCGCACACCAGATTGAGATATGAATTCCAAGAGCTTGTGGCTGAGATCCTTGCCCGCCCGCGAGCGGCTGAGAAGGTTGGGAGTACTCTGAGTGAGGTCCTAGGATCCAAGCTCATCCTCGTAGCTGACAAGGTTGGGTCAAGTGCTCTGAGTGAGGTCCTAGGACCCAAGCTCATCCTCGTAGCTGACCAGGCAAACAAGTGGGACCGCGATGCTAGTAACTTGACGTCCCTGACGGGAACCAGGCCAAGAAGCAGATATCTCAAGGGAATCATTTCAAGTGTCCGTCCCCAAGTGTGTCTGCTTGCAGAAGATGAAGCTAACTAGTAACTCAGACTCGAGCCAACGGGGCGCGAAGTGCTAC